TGTGTGTGTGTGTGTGTGTGTGTGTGTGTGTGTGTGTGTGTGTGTGTGTGTCCCACGTCAGCCTCACCCTGCTAGCAACCAGTGAGGCTGAGGATCGAACCCAGGGGCTTCATGCAAGCCCTCTACTAAGCTCTATTCCCAGCAGAGTTTCTTTTTCCCCTCCAAACACACAAGGTCACAGGTTTTCCTCTCAGGTTCGGGTCGAAGCCTTTGTTCCTCCTCTGCCTTAGGTTTCCTTCCCTAATTCTGCATTCTTGGAACGTCACACGCACAGACTCCTCCAGGAAACTTTCCCAAAATTCCGGATCTGCCTCATCTTCTCCTACAGGCAGCCCTATTTTGTTCCTCAACAAACCTCTGTCTGGGACCCGGTGCTGCCTCGTTACCCCCGTATTTTAATACATTTTCAATCAGGGTATGCCGTTGGACCACCAGTGGGGTTTGCTGAATGAAAACGAAGCTGGGCAGGGCAGGGGAGCATGTTCTCTGGGGCTTTCTGGAGAGAGTTGTAAAATCTAAGGTCACCCATCCTGCCACATGGAGTGTCTAGCACTTCTGTCGGGGAAAGAAGGCGAGGAACCCTTTAGCTAGACCCCGCCTGAGATCGCCCACCTAAAAGCAGCTTTTCCTGTTGTGTGTGGGGGGGTGTAAATTACAGTCACACTGGGTGCAGATCCCGGAGTTTTAATGGGAGGCAGAGAAGGGCGGGCGCCCACTAGTCGCCCTTGGGCGCGGCCTTCACCCTCATCTCTGCCAGTTTGTGGGTGAGGAAACCCCACTTGAAGCCTGCCGCGGGGTCCACCTCCCGTGTCTCGGGGCACTCGGCAGCCTCCTCGGCAGACTTGTCCCGGGGATCCGCGTCCGGTTCAGCGGTGCTCTCCACGCCGCGCAGCATGGACGCGGCGGCCTGCTGCTGCTGCTGCCATCTGCTGGCGAATGCGTCCCAGAATCCCGGCCCGCGCGGCTCTGTCTCGGCTGCGGCCGCCCGCGCGGGGGGGGGGGGGGGGCGGCCTGCTGCTGCTGCTGCCATCTGCTGGCGAATGCGTCCCAGAATCCCGGCCCGCGCGGCTCTGTCTCGGCTGCGGCCGCCCGCGCGGAGGGGGGCGCCGCCAGCGGGCTACAGGAGAGGCGGGGGTCAGCGGGCTGGCCCGAGGTCCCAGAAGGGGACAGTGGGCAGGAGAAGAGGCAAGAAGTGTGGTCAGGGGAGTCGGGGCAAGCAGGGCCTGTAAGCAAAGGGAGGGTTCAGAGGTCGGGGAGGGGGGTAGAGGTGAAGTGGGACAGGGTCCCGAGAGGAGGCGAGAGGGCTGGGTAGAGGGGAACCGGGATCCCCGAGGTGGATGGAGCGGCCAGGAGTCTGGAGACAACGGAGACAAGCCGGGTCCGGAAAGCCAGGGAAGACCTCTTAGAGGGGAAGGGCACCACAGAGAGTTGGGGGTGGGCTTGTTTAAGCCCCATAAGAAAGAACCCCCACGGGGGGGGGAGGCGGGAACGAGCGGACCGGGAAAAATTAGTCGAGCAAAGTGGTAAGGCTCTAGGATTGAGGGGAATAGGAATTTGGCACGTGGGAGAAGCAATCCTAGCCCAGGTGCTTCGGGAAGAAGAGGCAGAAGGGATTTGCTGAAGAGCTGTCAAGGAGGGGTGAAAATTTCCGAAGGAGTCTTGTCTCTGGACAAGTCCTGGGACAGGAAAGCAGAGGAGGTTAGGGAGAGGGGAGGAAATGAGCCCCTGAGGCAAGAGTAAAGGATGGGGAGGGGTAGAGCAGAAGGCAAGATGATGGGGTGGGGGCGCAGGACTGAAGGAAAAGGCAGAGATGCAGAGACGAGGCCCTAGCACTGTTCTCAACATCCAAGACCTTTTGTTTTTTTTGTTTTTTTTTTTTTTTTTTTTTTTTGTTTTTTTTTT